ATCTTCTTCTCGCGTAATAACCTTTCAAAAACCGCACCCAGTTTGGTCACAGCTTGCATGCTATCACAGCCTTCCTGCAAGTAATGGTGGCAATTTAGAAACATTTGCCTGACATCAGAAACAAAAGTGTGGAGCGAACCCGCATATCTACCGGCACTAACTGCACCTTTGATGTCAAGCAGTGAGACTCGACGAATGGTAGCCTCGCTTCGACCAAGATCTACATTACACTCCGAGAGATGAACGAGCTTTCGTGATTCTGGCTGTGCTAACAGAATTTCCACGACTACGAGGCACCACTGACTGACGCAAAAAGAGCTGCTATCATTCAGGCGGGGGGGATTCCCACGGGATGAGTTATTGTGATGCTGTGCTGGGCTTGATTCGACCGCTAAATTGACTTGGCTGGAGAGAATCCGATTCTGACTTCTCATGAAGCAATTAGTTCCAGATACGCGGCCAATCTCTCTCACGCAATTGCTTCTCCTTGGTACAGGAATGTGAATGAGACATTCAGAGCTTTCCTCGAACACGGGATGTTTGCTTTTCACGAGAGAGATCCGTGCCTTGATCAAGGCCATGGTGTAGTAGTCAGGTGATTCAGAGTTTGGATGGGAGGACCAACCACCAGCACCACATAATTCGGAAAGCAAGTCAGAATCGGCGAATCCCATCTCACGGAAAGCTGCAATCAGAACCAAGAAGCGTGCGAGTGACCGCCAAGTCATATGGTTTACGTCAATCCAAGATCGAGAAGCATGATGCGTACTGTTGGTCAGGCGACTTGAACTTAGACATGCAATCAAATCTGGTAACAAAACTTCCACCAGCGCCATTGCAACTGTGCTTAATGACCTATTTGCCGCATCCTTTTGATCCCGTGAATTTGTTTCGATCGCGATTAAAGCACCCAGAAGCTCGACTGCACTCGGCACTTGATCTATTTTGAGAGAAGCATTGAAAGTTTGTAAAAAATCGGAAATCTCCATTATATCATTCATCTTCCTTAAAGATTGCAAGCTAGAAGACGTTCGCCTTCTGATGAGAGGTACAAGCGAGGTACAAGGAGGAAATTCTACTGCCCCTCCCACAGAACCCTGCGAGTTAGTATCCTTGGTTTTATATGAATTCAAAAGCATTGGGGAAGCAAAGAGTATTTGCCCTTGCGATGTTGGTGGGGTTGGGATATGCAAACCCACTTCTTCTGAGTGGCTTCGGGCTAGAAGTAGCGTTCGAAGATCATTACAGCATCGACTGACATCCAGCTCCGCTGCGCGCCTCAAGAGGCGACCAAGACGATCAAGCTCACGCTCACGTTCACGAATTCGACGATCTTCAAGGTGGCGGGACTGAGTCGTGCCTTTATGAGAATTTTGAGCCAGAGAATGTTGGGTAGAGGTTTCTGCGTTCCCCGCATTTTGCTTTGGGACGCAGTGAGAGAGATTAGTATCGTTTGCATTTAGGTGGTCGGTATCTACTGAACTTGCACAAAATTTCGGATTGTGCTGCAAAGCGATTAGACCTCGCATCCTTTTATGCACCTTGTGGTCGGAGATCATCGATTGCCTGGACCGTTTACGTCGCCGCTCGATACGATTAGCACCAAATACAAATTTGCTATTATCTTCGTCGGAAGTACCACTTCTCTGTGGCGCAAGATGGGGTGAGTATTCGAAGATACGCGTTCGAAGCGCTGCTTTTTCATCGAGCAAAATAGCGATGTCCTTCCTTACACTGCATTCTTTGTCAAACGAGAAACTCATGGCTGCGGCGGGCCACAGTCGTTCTTTGCCCCCCCCCCGGGAATTCACAGCTATGCTTACCTACGTGAGCTCGCCCACGAGTTTTGGTGCTTAAAATCTGGAAAAACTAGTTCCGTCCTCGGATGGCCTCCTTGCATTTACGGCAGTACAATATGTTTCCGGTTCGGTCCTCCCTCTAAAACTGGTGGGCAATCTGCAGCTACGCTACTGGGACAGAACCTGCAGCTACGAGCCGTGTCTGCTCCGCCTGCGAGGAGGAGCGCTAGGCTGGAGAATAAGCCATCCCAGAATCTTAGGGAGCCAGATGGTCGGCGGAACATTTCTAACCCAGGGGTCGGAGGGGCGGACCATGATAAAGCGGCGAATATCGCCCTTAGAACGCGAGTGTGATTAAGCACAATCAAAGTGCGCTTGGCGATAAGCCAGCTACCTAGGGAGCCTACATTCCGCTCCTCGGGCTATGCTACCCTAACTCGGGACTATGCTATCCTCCCTATGCTGGGACGCTCATACTGGCCTATGCTGGCTATGCTCAGTCTGCCTTGTACTGGCTATGCTCATGCTATACTATGCTGGTGCTTCATACTAGCATACTCGGATTCTAACAGACCACGCCCCCCCTGCAGGCCCACCGGCTCCGGGTGGGTACTTCTCATTGTAGCTGAAAACTATCCACGGAAGTACCTCGTCCCACGAATCATGAATGGCACCATAGGGGTATCCTGGCTCCTCTGCTCCCCCGCCGCGGCCGGTGGGGCGGAGCGGGGGCTGGATGGCAGTGTGCCGCATGGAGGCGGGCGGGATGGGCTGGATGGTAATAGGTAGTCCAGACTCACTAATTCGCTACCGGAAGCTTATAATACTGCACTTACGGAAGCTTATAATACTGCCGTAAACGAATGCAATTTCGCCCTCGCTATGCACTGGCCGTTGGGGGCTTTTGTGCCTCGAGGCGTTTTTTGTACTTTTCTAGCCGTCGCTTTGCCGCATCCTTCTTGGCCTTTTTGGCGAGTTTTTTGTTCAAGTGTTTTTGCTCAAGCGTCGTGCGGGGTCGATCCCAGAACCTAAGGGGGAGAGCCGGCTTGGTTGGGCGCACAAAATACGCACACTACCGGTACCTGGCCTCGGTAGTCGGCTTTCCAGCTTGATTGCGCCGTTCGTCTCTGCGAAGTAACGCGTGCCGCCGGCGCGTTCCCACTTGTTC